ATAAGAACTTTTATTTGATGTGTTTTCACTCAAAACAAATCCCAAGAAACCTCAAAAAGTCAAAATACTGTGTGATTATATATAGAAGTACTTGGACAAGTAGTATATATCTACGGTAGTTGGTATTTGTGATATGAGGCTTGAAAAACACTTTTCCATAATATTTGCATGACATTTGAGTTAGAAATTCCCAATCAAATGATATTTCTAAGTACCCAAGCAGTCAATTGCTTCTGCTGTATGCTGTGCTGTTAGTAGAGAAAATTAATAACCATTTATCCTGTTTTGTGATTTCAGAATCAGTGAGAATCAGAATTACTTCATTAATGAAATTATTTTCTTTCAGTGCAAAGGTTTGCAGGAGTTCAATAGTATTTCCAATTGTAACTATTTTAGATTATTTGCTCCTTTTTTATTGTAAAACAAAGTAGCTGTAAGGACACATTTGTAGCAAAGGTAAGAAGAAAAAACCTTGGTACCTATTTAGCTCTGTAATCAATGCAAACAGTCATGTTTGTTAATCCTAAACAAAGAGCGACACAAAAAAAATGTTAATTTACCACTTCATTTGTGGCTCAAAAAGTAATGAAATCTTTGTGCAGACACATTTGTAAATGAATTTTCTGACCTTGTTAACATATCTGCTGGTATTTTTCGAACACAAATGCTTGGTGGCTTTAATTATTCCGAGGTGATACATTTTGTGTAATAACTGGGTAAATAAAGCAACTAATTAAAGCTTTGTTTCATGGTGTTGTATGCTTTGAAAATGTGTCATACTTTGTGAAATGGGAAAACTGACATCAGCTGTGTGTTCATTGTTCTGCTCCTCTTTCTGACAAACACACACACATGCTGGGATCGTACCCACAGCTGGCTCAAGGGAACATCCACTCTAATTTCTAGTTTGGTCTCCAGACATTTTTCAACACAACTGACATATTACTACCCAAGATGAGCAATGTTAGACACATTGAGACTAGTTGTTAATTGATATTACATGTTTAATGCAAAAAAAACAGTTTTTCTCTAGCCATTTTCAAACATTAATAGAAATATATACAAACTAACCCAAACTATTACACAAATATTTCATTATTGGGTTTGTTTCACCCATTAACCTTTTTTATGCTTATATTGTCAAATCAGATATTGGCCTAAGGATTCTGAGAAGTTGTCAGCAATTTATTCAACAGCTTATTTATTTAATTGACTACAATGATAAATATTTATATTTTTAATCTATCTTTTACATCAAAGTGATGAGAAATCCCCATCCCTGAAAATTGGAGGGAAAAAAACATGCTCAATACTCATGCATTTTTTTTTATTATTCCTATGCACTGACTGGTTGTTCTAGGCTCTGCTTATATTCTGTCATGTTAGCGATGGGATAGAGGATATGTTGACAGAGAGAGGACATTGCACATCGAGTCTGTGGGGCTCTTCTAAGCCTGGTGGCACTGGGACACGAAGACAAGCGTGCATCTGTGTGTGCATGTATGCGTGTATACAAGTAGAGGGTTGCCTGTGGAACAGAGCGTGTGGATCCCCACCCACTCAGCCACCTCGCGGCAATCGTCATTTCACATTAATCCACAGCCCCTCAGTATAAATAGGACAGACATCCTAAAGCTACACTCTACTATGAGAGGCAATGGCATTATTCATCGACCCTGGACCCCTGAGCTGGAAATATGGCATCACCAGCCTGTTTTAATGGCAGTTCCCCTCTCACTAGTATACCACCTTATTAAAAGGAAACTCTTGCAGCTGGTAGTTTGAGTACAGTACTGAGAAAAAGTATTCCCCAGTTCACAGATTTATTTAGTTTTTCCTTTTTGGTGACACTCATATGTCTCAAATTATCATGAATATTTCAAGATCAGACAAAAAGTACCTGAGTCGCTATAAAAGGCTGTTTTGTTTTTATTTAAAACCAACTGGCCTGATTGACACCCTGGATACGTTATGAATAAACTGTGGTTAACCAGCATCTGGTTCAATCAATAAATAATAAAGAAGTAAAATATCTACGTAATGTATCCTAAATGATCTCCAAAATAAATATATCAGAAAAAGAAATTCAAAAACAGCGGGAAAGGGTTATAAAGCCCTTTTCGAAGGCTTGAAGGGGAATGATAGTGAAAGGCATTATTCACAAACTGAGACAAAACTATATCTTCCAAGGAATGGTCAAACAACCAAAATTACTCCAAGAGGTCATCAAAGACACAACCGAGGTGTTACAGAAGAACCTGGTACAATTTCTAAAACGCTGCAAACCACACTTGCATTAGTGTGATTTAACAATGACTTATATTTTACAGTACATAAAACCAAATGAAATTCAAAAGACAAAAACATAAATAAAGAATCCTTACATTTAAACACACAAGTGGTAAAGTTTTGATCTGGCGCGGCATTGCAATATAAGAACTTGGACTGTTTGCGTAATTAAACTGATTTCTACCCTCTGGCAGAGAATCCTAAAGCAAAATGTCCGGCTTTCAGAGCTAAGCTCAAATGTATCTGGGTTATGCAACAAGGCACTTCAAAAAGTAAACTTCTAAATGGTTTAAATTACTATGCTGTGACTTTAATCTAGACTTTTGTGTTTTAAAACCTTGAATGTCACAGAATTTAAGCAATTCTTGAAAGATAAGTGGACCAAAAATCTTCACTACGTGGTCTCAAAAAAACAAACATCAATTAAATATTTTCATACATGGGGTTGCTTGATAATAAAATATTTATTTTAGAAACTGCATTTTTATTTCTGTTATCTGTCCTTTATACTTTGGCAAGAGTGATCTACTTTGCCTATCTCCAGCTGTCAATGGGCGAGAAGCGGGGTATACCCAGTCTATCTCACGGCAACACAGAGCAAAAAGGACAAACAACCATTCACTCACACCTAAGGAGAATTTTATAGAAGCCAATTAACCTATCAGTCATGTTTTTTGACTGTGGGAGTACCAGGGGAGAACCCATGCATGCACAAGGAGAATGTACAATCTCCATGCAGAAAGACCCCAATCAGTGAATTGAACCTGGAACCTTCTCGCTGCAAGGTAGCAGTGCTACCCACTGTTCCACTGAGCAGCCATAGAGAGGGCTGCTCAATGGAGTAAATTTAATTTTGATTTATTCATTTATATCAAACACGCAAGCAACAGATTGCAATGAGCCCCACCAGCAAGAAACAAAACAAAAGATTTGCATCCATACAACCTGAAAAGAGGAAGGAAGCAGCAAGGCTTATAGAATTTTAACCCCCCACATGGCACCACACAACCCAAATAACATAATACAACATTTTAGAGTAACAATTAGTACAAAAGACAGACAAACAGCCAACCACAGACGAACAGACAGCTCAAATATATATTATAAATAACAGGGAATAATACCGGATCCCCCCTTCACATTTTTGCATTATAGTACTCAGTATTTTGTGATATATGATTAATATTTAAGCAAAAAAATGAAGTTTACAATATACCATACACCGTATACGTACCGAGTATATAATAACGTTAATTTAAATACAGTAGTTGTGTAGTTTTGCTTCGTACATACACACATACACCTTGTGCTTGTGTCAGTTCCAGAGGGCATCAAGCAATCATCTCCTCCTGGTAACCCTTCATCACCTGTTTATTATTTTAAACTTTTTATTTCAGAATGTAGTTTTTTCCACTGAATGATTATTTTCACTGAGGCAGATAGGGCTGTCCTTATATTTGGCTGGTGCAATTGATTATTTCCTCTCAAATTTCTGAGCAACTCTTTCTTTTAATAAATGTATGTTACCAGGCGGAAAATATTTTGATGCCCTGTACATAATTTGAGCAGTTTTATACTTTACCAAATCAACAACTTTTGATTAAATTAGTTCAGAAAAAGTGGATTGGTGTGATCATCATATTTAACCTTATTAACAATTCTAAGGGCTTGTTTTTGGAGAGAGACTAGAGGTAACAAGTTTGTCTTGTAGCAATTTCCCCAAACTTTTATACAATCATTTAAATAAGACATTATAAACGAGTGATACAGAGTAAAGCATTGTGACAGATTACAATAGTTATCTTACTTCCATCTAGTGGTCAACATAGAGATGACACTGCTATTTATGTAGTAGTGATTCGTTTGTATACAGCAGAGGACAGAAGAATATGTATAATAACAATATACAATGAATATGCATTGCTACTATAAATAATGGTTTGAAAGTATTAACAGTTTGATAAATATGTTAACCACAACAGGCTCTGTCATTCGACATATTTTTTCTTAAGAAAAGCTTAAGTTATGTTCAGGTACCTATAAATGGAAAATTAATCAAATAACAAAAACCCAAAAGAAAAAAAATCCAGAAACTCATGAGAATTTCTATTGAAGAGTACTTTAACGATCACAGAAAAAGTCTGGCTTGTTAGCTGAAAAATATATGAATATATTCAAAGAAGCTATATTATACTGAGTGGTTTAATACGTTTAGCAAAATGCTGTACTTAAAATTATTTAGAGGAAGTTATCATCCTTAAGTGTAATTTCTTGTTTATTAAATTCCGAAAATATTACTTTCATTTGATCACTAAATGATAAATGCCTTTCTCATCAGATATCATATATTTAAATATATTTATTTAAATATATTTATTTATATGTTCAATCATTTATTTATTAATGTATTTAAGTTTTTTTTTTTTTTTTTTTTTTTTTTAAGGACAATTTGGGATGTTTCAACTATTTCACACTTTCCTATTCTTGACCATATTGTAAAAATGTATCATTTTTAATTGTTCTTAATTATTATTATTAAACATTCTAATGTGGTAGACATGTTCACTTAATAAAATGAAAACATGTTTATTTGCTATGTGTGTATAAAAAAAATCTGAATAAAATCTATAAAATAGTCAGTAAAGTATGTATTTTTAAACTGGCATTTACTTAAGGCGACCGTTGGAAAACGAAAGACCTTAAAGCGCCAAGATGGCGGCGCCCATGAAAGATGCCGGGGAGTTTGAAAGCTGGCTCGACGAGCGACTGGACTCGTTAGAAGTTGACCGTGAGGTGTACAGTGCATATATTTTAGGAATTTTAAAGGAAGAAGAAAGCGACGAGGAAAAAGAAGATGCCCTTCAGGGGATTTTGTCTGCTTTTCTGGTGAATGCTGAAGTGGCATGTCTCGCTCTCTCACTGAGATTGCCTTCACATCTGCTTCTGTCTGTCTCTCCTCTGTCAAGTGGTTTGACGTCTTGTGTTTCTGGTGTCTGTTGGGTTTTTGTTAGCTTTAATTTTAGCTGAGTGTTCTAATTTACACTCTATAATCAGTGAGTTGTACTATTCTTCCATGCTAAACTAGTCTACCCAGTATTGTTTTGGCTAACTAGACGATTAGATTGGGCTTGTACATTAAGGGTTAAATCAAATTGCACTTCTGCTTTAAAATCAACTTTCTCGGTCTAGTTTTAAATAGTGGCTATGAAATTATAAAGCAATTCGTATTTAAGTTCACATCCTTTTGTGAAAAATGATAATACTTATTGTTTTTATACCATAAATAAAATGATTTATGTAGTTTATCAGTGCTTAACTATGTACTAACATTTCCCCCCTTTTATTAAAGGATGAAGATACCATAGAAGAAGTCTGCAAGCAGATCATCAATCACTGGAAGGAGTGTTGCAGCCGACTGGCTGACGGACAAAACAAGGATGACGGTATGGAGATGAAGATTTGAATTTTACCTCAACCAAATGAAAAGTATTTATCTGGAAAGTAATCAAGGCATGACGGTCAAATCTTAAACAAATAGCAATGTACTTTTACCTTCCCAATACTTAATTTCAACTCAAAAAGAGACTTTTTTTTGCAATGGAGAGCTGTATAAAATTAGGAAATATGGTAGTGTAAAGGCAAATTTATGCAGTACAATGTGTAGCCTTTTCAAGAACTCGTGAGAACTTCAGCGGAAGGTTACGAGAACTTTGGCGACGGGAGTGTTTATTTTTCTCTAAACAACAATGATGCGTCTGCAAGATATTGAGTTAAACTAGAGTTGCTAGAAATCGAAGAGGAACGGTTTCTGTTAATGGAGTTGGCAAAAAGATAGATTAACCTTTCGTCGTAGTTGTCCATTGTAGTTGTTCCTCGATTTTTAGAAAATGGCCTGGCATCGAATCGAGAAGGACGAACACACAGACAGCCGGAAAGGCATACCAAACACCAATCTCAGCTGCTTTTGAGGTCTGCGCGGGTTTGCGACCGTCCAACGCATAGTCAGAAGCGTGACAGATTTCACAGTTGCAGAGGCTATGCTTCAGAAGCATAAATTGGCCCTAAAGGGGAACGCCATTTTTTTTTACATTGGGCCCTTGTTTTTACTTTATTACATCATTTTCTACTCACCCATCTGAGTTTTGTGTCATTTGGAGCTCTTCTGAAGATGCTCCGTTATGTTATGTTATATCCAATTACCGTCTTCCTATGAGCAACGAGTTGAAGGCACAAACTAAACTGTTCATAATTTATTATTTATGGTACGCCAGCATTCATAACATGTAGGCGAATCACTGTCCCCCAGACATCCACGGTTATATTTTTTATATTTTGTATTTTTTCAAAACAAAGCAGAGTGTGTATGACATCATCCGCGCGCACCGGCTATATTCATTCATCCTGTCCGCTGAACTGCTGCTAGTTTTACTCACATGCCTGGAAGATGTCTAGTGCTACTACCACAGATGATCTCGCTCTCGAAATGGAATTGAACGATTCACATTAGCTAGCCGAATGAATAGAAGGGGTAGAGCGTAGCCGCCTGTTGCCCGGGCTGCCTGTCACAACTCCAGTCCAGCGCGCAGATGACGTCATACACATTCCGGTTTGTTTTTAAAAAATATAAATATAAAAAAATGCGTGGGTTCTCTGCGGGTACTCCGGCTTCCTCCTAAAGTCCAAAAACATGACTGTTAGGTTAATTGGCTTCTCTACAGTCCCCTCAAGTGTGAGTGTGTGTGTGAATGGTTGTTTGTCCTGTTTGTCTCTTGTGTTGTCCTGCGATGGACTGGCAACCTGTCCAGGGTGTATCCTGCCTCTCGCCCAATGACTGCTGGAGATAGGCACCAGCACCTCCCACGACCCCACTCGGGAAAAGCGTGTTAGAAGATGGATGGATGGATGGATGGATGGATGGATGGATGGATGGATATTTGATAGCTTTTTAGACATACTAAATGAGATTAGTTGTGATGTTGTAGCAATGATTTTTTTATCTTAATGTGACTGTCATCCCTGTGTCTTTCCTTTTTTGATCTTAGCTGAGGTCCAGGCCATTGCCAGCATGATAGAAAAACAGGCCCAGATTGTTGTGAAACAAAAAGACCTGTCTGAAGAGTCAAAGAAAAGGAAGGAGGCCCTTCTTGCTCAGTACGCCAATGTAACGGATGAAGAGGAATATCCTTGACGATAAACATGACAGTTTAGCTACGTTCATTTTTGTTTTTAAGTGTTCTGTATTGGTCTGTTTGCTTATTCATTTGTGAGCATAAAGTATAATAGTATGATCAAGGAAAGAAGGAGAAATGGCTTTATTTCATCTGGAACAGTTGAATTTCAGGGATGAACTCTTTCCTTGACAAAAGCACTGAAGCGGAAGAGGAGCCAGCAACTGGAATCGATGTTCCTGGAAATGAGAGATGTATCCTTTGTGCCTGTTTTAACCTTAAATTTCCTGATAATTAGCCTTATCATGTGAATACCTCATATTTCATTCATCAGTTGTATTGCTAACCTTAAACTATATTATTTCTAGTTGTGTTTACTGCACCGTGGTTAAAGTTGGTAAATAAAAACATGACATTTATAAGTGCTTGTCCTTTACTGTTTGCCATAGCCCTGTTCAGGAACACCAATGTGGAAGAGGTGCTCAGCAGACAGAAGCAAAAGCGTGACCAAGCTCGGGAAGATGCTCAGAAGAAGAAAGAAATGGACAAAATGCAGCGAGAGAAGGACAAACTGGCCAAACAAGACAGAAAAGAGAAAGAGAAGAAACGTACACAAAAAGGTGAACGCAAAAGATAAAACCCATAAGGACGGTTTTCATCAGTTTCTTTTGCAATAAAACTAAAGATTGAGAAGTTAAAGCTTGAAATGTGTGCTTCTCTTTCCAACTAAATTTCTAAATGTGTTTAAGTCACTGTCAGATGCTTGGTAAAACCTGTCTCAGTTATTAGACACACTGAACACAAAGGGCAGAAGTACAATTCATACATAAATACATTTACACTTAATTGTTTCAGAGTAATTTTACCCAGTTTGTATGACAGTTTTGGTAATCATGACTATGCAGAAAACTTAACTCTACCTTTTTAAAAATGTTCCGTTTTGATTATGATGTCAGGATTTCACTAAAGCATATCATTAATGATAAGAATCAACCCATTTCACTGGTATTCTTGGAGCCAACATTTGATAAATGCTGGATATTTCTACACAACTTTCATCTGCAGGTTTTGCTTTTATTTTCTATGCATCTTGACAGCAAACCAGAACACATTTTGCTAAATTAACTAACCTCAGATGTATACTGTTCCATCATTCAAATGTTTTGAGGTTTATCTTTTTTTGAAATGAATAAAAACCTCCTTTTTTATTTCTTGACGACTGTGTTTATTTTTAAATTTCATTGTACGGAACGGGTAACATCGAAACACGAATTGACAAAAAAAAGTGAAAGCAGAAAAGTTATATAAACATTTTACAAATAATCACACTTCACCCAACATTTTGCTGAACAGTACGACTTAAATTTAAACATGAAGATTTTTTAAATCTTATCACTTGTGAGCAGACTGATTACAGGAGGGAAAAAAAAAACTTTATACTGAAATTTAAGGTTACAAAAGTATAAGGGATTTGATTGAAGCATTGCTGAAAAGAATTTACTATTTATAAGTGATTTATACACCAATTATTACTTGGGAATACATAAAACTGAGGTTCTATTATATTTCAATAAATAAGTAAAAAGAAGAATTTGTGAAAATCTGCTGCATAAATGTTGTCTTTCAAGATTAGAGTAGATCTGTAGAAAAAAAAGTGGGGGAAAAAATTTAGATGTTGCAAATTTTAAATTGCATTTCATGCAATTCCTGAATCCTTGTTAAAAAAAAGGCTTATCTTCAAGCTGTTGATCTCTTTTGTTATCCTAATTTTTCTATTAATAATTTAATCAATTGAAGGTCAATAATACAAAGGAATATTCGTTTCTTTTACTTCATTCCAAATCTCACATTTGCATCTAGATAATTTGCAAGTGAAAAGAGTTTCTCTGTAAAGGAGGAGAGCACCTCTCGGCACATTAGGCTCCTTCATGCATGTTGTGGTACTGAATCCTGACAGATTGGGACAGCGTCATTTGGAGGGCACACCACACAGATGTTTGGAGCCTCTTGGTGGTAGCAGTCAGGTCCTTCAGTGCAATTAACATCAACATGTTACCTTTTGGGGTAAAAGTCGGTTGGGATGATGGGCGTCTATAAATGAGGTAAAAGTACTAAGAATGATTACCTCTGTCCTCGGTGAAATTAATTCCCTGCTTCTGCTGTTTAGTCATGTTTCGATCCACCTTGCATCTTGTCTGGGTGACGCATATAGCCATGTGGTGCCTTTTTGATTGTAGTGTTGATGTTGATAAGCAGGGAAACACTACAGAGATACTCCATTCTGTCGAAAAGGCTTTTCACCTGAAACATGACAGTGCAAAAACTTTCTTTACTTAGTAGTTTTTACATAAAGTTCAAGCCAGTTTTAATAACAACCCTATTTTGAGTATATCTATAGATATAGATAGATATATCTATCTATAGATATATATATATATATATAGATGTAGATATAGACTTATCTATATCTGTAGATATCTATAGATATAGACTTATCTATAGATATAGAGATATAGATAAATATATATATATATGTAGTATATACAGTCAATGCGGGGTCTACTCCTATATTATGTCTATGGTCCTTGGAAGATGCAACCCATTAATTCGAAAAAGCTGTAAGGTATATATAGACAGGTGTGTGCCTTTCCTAATCAAGTCCAATCAGTTTAATTAAACACAGCTGGACTCCAGTAAAGGAGCAGAACCATCTGAAACAGGATCAGAAGAATTTGACAGCATGTGAGTTAAATACTTATGACGATGGGATATTTCAGTTTTTCTTTTGTAATACATTTGCAACAACTTTTCTGTATGTTTTTTCAGTCAAGACGGGGTGCTGAGTGTACATCAGTGATAAATAAAATTAGCTTTCTTTTATTTAAAGAAATGGCTACAATGAAACAATACTAAGCTGCAGCTTGGTATTTAGCATCTGAGTGTATCTCTTAGAACCTGGAACCAAACTCCCATGGACATGGTTGTGTATAAAAATGTAATTTAATTTAAATACACTTTACTAAGTGGGAATTAAATTTAATTATATAACCCTGGCTATGTGTTTTAATTGAAAATACACTTTTAGCCTTATTATTACCCATACAGTATTTAGCTTCAGCTGTCTTTATTTAAAGTATCCCCCCAGCATGGCACCATGCTGCTAACCTGTTTCACCATGGTAACATTTTGATCTCATATAGAGAGAACATCTTCCACATTTTTTGCTTTTTATTTTTGAAAAGAAAGAAATTAATTAACCTGACCATTATGAAGGTCAGACCTGTACATTAAAACTGTGCACAGATTCTCCCAACTGAGCTCTGGATCTCTGCAGCTCCTCTAAAGTTACTGTGGGCCTTTTGGCTGCCTCGCTGTCTATTCTCAAACCTACCATGGACCGCCGGGTCCTGGTTGGTTTGCAGATATGCAATGCTCTACGTTTGGGTAAAACGGTTATGTATGAGCTGCTCAAAGCAATTAGATATCAGAATACCTCTGGGTACATTTATTTCACCCTGTTTTATTTTGGTATGAAGAAGTGAAAGGGGCTAAATACAAATGAATGAAGAACTTTTTAGATCTTACTTTAAATTTTAAAATCCATGAATTGTTTTCCTTCTTCTTCCCATTTATACGTTTTTCTGTCACATAAAAGCCTAAAAAACGTTTGTATTCAGATCAAATTCTGCTGCTTTTCTTTGTTTTTATGTTAACCTTTACTTTTAATCTGAGATTTCAACATTATACTGGCAAATCCCAAGAGTGTAATATCTAAATGTAGAACGTTATTGATCTAAACCAGTCTGTGAAACAGCAGGGGTGACTCAAATTTGTCCATAGTTTCCATCTGAGAAGTGCTTTTTTATTCTTTCTTTTTTGAGTCTTGTGTGGAGCTATTGAATAAAAAAAACAAGCAGGACATTTTTTCACCAGGTCAACATTCAGTTGGACATAATGTCTGGCAGAGCTGCAAGATAGTATGTGTGTTGGGACTCTAGATTTAAGCTGTTCAAGCATGCAATGTGACTTAACATGAATCATAAGGGAAAAAAATAAAATGTATAGGTAATAATCTCATATTTCTGTTTTTAAATCATTTTCATTTACATCTCATTTGGACCAGATTTAATAGGGATTTGTTTGTGAAGAGCCAACGGGCCTGCAGCACGTACTGTACAGACTTGACCTCTAGGTGGAAGCAGCTTCCTCGCTCTTAGTGAAGGTTCTGCTTCTAATAGCTCCGGAAAAAGTGTAGCTAATTCAGACCCATTTCTGACCATAGTTCTTAAAATAACTCTTTAGTTTGCTTAATTTGTTTAGTGTTTTGGCTCTTTTAAAATGAACTAATAAACAAATTTACTTCCCTTTTTTAAACTCAGCTTAAGTACATACAAATGTCCTAATTTCCTCCAAAACACGTTTCTTGAATAAATGCATGCATTTTTTTTTTAAGAAGGGGTTTTAATTTCAGTTAAGAACAAAACAAGAAACAACACATGACCAAATAACAAATTGGCTGACCTTGATTTGCTTGAATGCGGTGTGTATTAATAATAGTTTATTTTATGTTCCCTTCAATCTTGCAATTACTGAATGAATATAGTAATGATTGGGTGGGGGTCCTGTGAACTGGGTTTTGTTCTCATGCTTTGGATAGTTATGTTGATAATTCTCTTTGTTCCCTGGACAATCTGATTGCCCTGCAGGACAGGAGGTACCTGCTCCATTAAGGTACCTTTGTTGCAAAGGAATGTACCGGGTTATAAATCCATTTAGGTGGGTGGTAGCATTTGTTGTGGCTTGTTTACCTTCAGGAATAATTTGTGTTTTCTAGGTTTGAAAGACTAACATTTTAAAGTAACTAGGTTTCTTTTCACAATAAGCCTCTCTTTCAAAGCAGAATTAGTTCATTACATTTTGGGAGGAACTTCCTGTATGATCCGAGTTTATCTGGTTTAAATGGAACATTTTATTTACTTTTCCTTTAGATATATTTTGAAGTTTTCAGAAAATATTCAATGCAAAAGATAGGGAGTTCGGATTAGACAATTATTTTTTCTAGAATTGAAATTTTGTAGAAGGATAAATGTCAAAAAAACTATGTGAAAGTAAAGCAATCAATAGCCAAGGCATGCTCCAGAATGTTTCTATGTAGACCTTTAACCTAAATTATTATTTTTATTCCTTAATTTCATGACCTCTGATAGTTATGAAGTGTGTCCATACCCTTTTAACAAGCAGCTGAGAATGAGAGTTTCAAACGACTTCATCTGAATGATTTCAATTTTATTAAGGAATCTGTCATGGCTGATTAAAAGCTTTGTGTCATGCCTTATTAGTAAAGATGTCTTTCATGAAGTGTAGAACTGGGCAACAGTAGTAACATATTTTTGTACTCTGCCATCCCTCCCTCTAACATGAGTAGAATAATCATGAGAGTTTTTGAACGTCCATAACTCAAACAAAGAAAAAATGACCATGTAGAAGATAATCCAGATCGAGAAGACAATGTGATAAGGTTTGCAGCAGCTTTTTGGTTTTGACAATAAAACATTTAACTCCAGTAGTTCAATGTCATGTACCTATCAGTGGTGCTACTCCAATCTCAGGCCACAACCTGTTTCCAATAAACCTAAACAATGGTGTCTCTGTGAGTTCAGCCTTTTTTGTAAATGTTTGATGTAGGATTTCTGCTCAACAGAAGCCCCCTTGCAGTGCCATTCTGTGTGATCACTGATGTGGAATTTGGGAAGCTGGGATGGGAGAGAGGTGGAATCTGTTGTTGCGCTCCTCTTTTAGCGGGCTTTGGCCCATCACACTTTCTAACAAATACCTCTTTAGGGCTGGTATTTCAGCTTTGTAAGCAGTTATTTGCAGATTATCTGTTAAATACTTCTCTCATAATTATGATCTATTGGATGTAGATTGAGTGGTCCACTTTAATCTCTTGGAATACTGCTGGTTAGTGTGTTGAATAACTCTGCAGCCCTTCTGAAAAAGGGTTACCCCAACAGCAGGTGGTTGAGTTCTCTTTATATTCTCAGTCTCAAACCCATGATGGATGTAAAATCTTGTGCACAATCACAGCTTTACAGTCCTCACGCTTTGAATGAATGTGCTGATGTTGGGCATTACAAAGTTCAGGTGAGCCACTGATAAGTTACAAGCCAAACAGAAATCACTGGACAGAGGAGCATTCAACAAATGGTGCATAATTTGACCTTTGCCTGGGTGGTGGAGATAAGCTCTTCCTTTCTTTTTCTATTTCTGCCTTTTCTTGTTTATGCAGAGTGCGTGTCTGTTATCCATAACAACAAAGACACAGGGTTGGTTGTGGATGCCGGTTCTGGTTGCAGGGGGAGATTCTACGAAGATAAGCAGCTGCCTGTCACACCTGGAAGGGTCTAGGTAAAACAAGAGGTTTTGTCGCGTAGGAGGAGTCAGTGCAGTTCAAGGGAGGGTGAGAGAAGAGGGGTTTAACATGTGCTGAGAAGTGTGAGGGCAGAAGGCAGAGTCATTGCTGGCTCAACAGAGTGTGTATAAAAGTGGTTTGTTGAAGTCGAGCTGCTCACACCACAGCACCAGAAAGGAAGTGTGATAACCAGTCAGAGAAATGACTCTGTAACTTCTTTTTTTGTTTCTTTTAGACCCTGGAGGACTATTTTAAACAGACATGAATGGTGACAGCAGCAAACAACGCTATGTGTCAACCTTCAAGGTGCAGCTTCAGCCATCACGTCCCCCCTGTACACAAAATGGGACAAGAACGATAAACACCAGGACTGAAGGCAAATGTAATGAAACAGGTAAGAACTGAAGAGGGGATTACAAAATCAGATGATGTGTGTTTATTTTCAGTATGCCAGGCTTGTTGCATGTTTCATGTTACTGTTTCAATCATTCAACCAACAAGTTTGAACAAGCAGTGCATCTCATATGTTGATGCACTGAATATACCGACTTCAATTGAATTACATAGGGGCTTACAAAGAGACTACTTTTAAAGAAGAAATTACACAACACAGTTTGTTGGATATTTTATTTCATCATAGATTTTTAGCTTTCCTTTTTTGGCCAAAATGATTTTTTTTTTTGTGTCAACAAACTTAAAATTTGCTTCTTTCTCTATTATTCTTATAGTTAATAATTTCCTAAATTCAAAATTGTCACAGTTTCGTATTTTTAAAACTAATCATGTACAAGCTTGTTAATATCGCATGATGCATTTTAAAACCCAGCAATTATCTGGCATGCATGACTGCACACTTTCCCTCGCAAGTTGAGAAACTGTTCTGATATGTTTGACATGTCTTTTTTTTTTTTTTGGAACTGAAAAACGAAACTATAAGTGGATAATCGGAAGGTTTTTTTTTTAAAGATGACTGTTTCTGTATTAACCTCCAGATGCTTTAATTTAGCTTAAAGAAATGCATAAATGAATAAACAAATTACAAGAACGGCTTGTAAAGATGCGCCTTTCACAAGGCAATTCCATAACTTTACCACTTTAACGCATCAATTTTTAGAGTAAATTTAAAACTGAAACCTCTGGCTAAAGGTTGCAGGTGAAATATTGGCTTTGTTAAACAGTAACTTGAATACTACAGGTTTGTTTGCACAAGTGGAAGCTGCTAAATCTTATCTTGTCCATATTGATGGTGCTTTTTATTTCAGATTTGTTCATTATCAGGCATTTCTAGTTGAATCATGTCAGTAATGACAGTTCAGGCAGGCTGAATCCCAAACATAACACTTGTGTCCTTTAGCAAGACTGCGCCGGAATGAGGGAGGGTAATTCTTTGGAAAACTGCAACCAACCCCCACATGGCTGTGATCCAGATCTAATGAAATAACTCAGCTTCTGTCAAACAGAACAAGACATTTATCTTTAGCATATTATCAGGAAAATATTTGCACACAATCTAAAAAAAATATGCTTTGAGGAAGTTATTCAGTTTTAAAATCTAAAGCCATCATTAATAACAAGATTTACTCTGTCAGTGCAATGTTTGCTTCTTTTGGGAGAAAAGAAAAGAGAAATGTCTTACAAATTTTGGTATCTGAGAAATGCTTTACATACTGTCCATTACTTCCTTGCATGTTATTTTTATTTCTGCTGTGAAGCATTTTTCTTACGAAACAGACACAGAAAAAACTAAATTAGATGGTTTGTGATTTTGCTTTAAGTTGCAGACAACTATCTTTAATTAAGTTCCCAAAACTATATGATAGAAACAGTTTTTGAAGTTTTATTTGAAGTGATACTGACCGGCCTTTATTGGTCCACTTAGGGCTGCAGCTTGGTGCATTGAGGGACCTGTTTGGTATACAAGACTAAAGTTGAAACCAAGCCTCAACATGCAGAACAGGAATTTATGTGACTTTGAATGGGCCATGGGAATACTGGTTTGAGAAGAAGGGGGAGGCCAACTAGCCGGTCATTGCAACTAGGATATGGAGATTATCATCTCACATCAGATGTCAGTCAACTAAGAATAGAAAACTGATACTACCATTCACACAGGCTCACCACTACTGGATAATTGCCATTGAGATTTATTTTGCAATTTTTTTAACATTTAGGACATTTTAGTACCAAATGAGCATTACTGAAACGCCACACCCTACCTTCGGATGTTCATCTTTTTTTATGACCACGGTCCACTCATTATCTGATGATCAACCAATCCAGAACTAGTTTGTTGAGCATGACAGAGTTCAGTGCTCTCAATTGGCCTAAACAGTCATTAGATTTTAATCCAGCACACCACCTCTGAGATATGATGTCGATTTAAACTAAGGATGTGCATTCAACAAGCCTGCAGCAACCATTGCCATTGATGTTATTATACCAGAATTGACCACAAAAGCTTTACATCTTCTCTCCCTCTAGGTTCTATTAAAACTCTGGATCCACCAGTCTTTATAAAGCCGCTCGAAGACTGCAGTGTAGATGAAGGAACAGACTTTGTGCTTCGCGGAGTTCTCACAGGAAGTCAGCCCATCAAAGTGTCATGGCTGCATAATGGTAAGCAAGGGACAAAAACCTGGTTTCTTGTTTATAGTTTTGGGTTTTATTTAAACATAATAATAATGATAATTAGAACAAAAAGAGGAAACAAACAGTTTTGATTGAAGCTTTGAAAAGGAGCACGGATACCCAAAAATAATTCATACTGGGACAAATAAGGTCAGTGATTTAACTTTTCTGCAGGATGGCAGAGGACAGAGGTACATGACAAAAAAAAAATGCTTTGAGAGAGAGAGGGATAATTTCGTTTTTTTATACAGTCTCTTATCTAAAGAAGACATTTTATGGTGTGGGGGCAACATTTTCTGGGACGCAATCAAATTCCATATCATGAGGGGGAAAAAAACCCTTGGTTTACTTGGAGCTACTTCCTCCTTTTGTCTGTAAGTTGTTTACTCCCAGGTTTCCATTTAGTTCAATCACCAGCAGGATGTGACCCATTGCATGGTATTCATTTAGCAGCAAAATATAGACTTTGACAAAATACTCTGTGTTCACAGAAAATGTAGCTTTTCATTGTATTCATAAAGTGACTCTTTATTTGGTTGTTCACATTAGCTGCTGGTAAAACAAACTGTTTTATTTTACGTCACATGCCTTGTGTTTATAAACAAGGAGTGAGAGTTTTGGTATATTGCTAAAAGTATACATTCTTCCATCCAATTAATTTTAAGTTGGGTGATTTAATCACTTCCATTAACACCCATTTTTAAAGTCGAGCACCTTGGTATAATTTCTGACAGTGAGAATAAAAACATAGGTCACTCTCAGGATCTTGGTGGATTCCGAGATTTTTCTCCGGGATGAGTTGCCAGCTGTGCAACAAGTCCGGTCATGAAATTTCCTCATTCCTACATATCAGTGTCAGTGGGGTTTTTTGTCTTAAAAAGTGGAAGCGTTTCAAAACAACATCAACTTGGCCATGATCCGATATGCCACCTACACTGACCAAACAGGTACAGTAAATGGTGATGCTTATGGTGGGAAGAGGCCAGCAACCTGCTGCAGAGTTAATTGCTATAGAAACCTTATGGTCTTCAGATTAACATAAGAACAGTGTATGAACTTAACGGAGTAGGTCTCCATGACTAAGGAGCTGCATCCAAGCCATGCTTCATCAAGTGTTCTGCAAAGCTTTGGATGCACAGTTGTAAAGTATGCCACTGAAGCACTGGATTAATGTTCTCTGAAAGGATAGATTAAGCTTCTTAATCTGAAAACTTGAAGGACGTGTTTGGGTTTGATGGTTGCAAGGATAAAGTCACTTGTCTGAGGGTTTTACGTCAGGTGCTTCAGTGAAATGAACTCTGAATGTTCAGCATTCCTAGAGATTTTGTTCCAACTTTCTAGAAACAGTTTAAAGATCCCGCCCCCTGGGAAATGACTCTGCACTACACAAGGTCCATGTAGACAAGGATGAGGTAGTTAGGTCTTGATGAGTTTTACTGCCTGACTTCTCACCTTAACCCAACAGAACATCTTTGGGATGAATTAGAGCAGAGTGAGAGTGAGGCTTTCTCCAACATCAGTATATGACATAACAAACGTGCTTCTTAATGAATGGTCAAAGGTGCTCCTAAAGCTTGTGGACAACATTCCCAGAAAAGTTGAAGCTGTTATGGTGCAAAACGTGCACCAACTTATTAAACCTAAAAGATTGGAAACAGGGATCACCTTAGATGGTATACAAGTCAAGGCAGGTGAATGAATACTTTTGTTACTATAGTGTAATTAAGTAGGGGGGGATCAGTAAAATGTGTCGTGGAGACCTCAGGGTTATCATTTACACAGAGTCAAGCTAATGGCTACCAAGAATTTAAGCTAAGAGCCTTTAAAAAAAAAAAGGATCTAATAAAGAATAATTTCCCATCAGTTTAATACTGTACATGTTCCAGAGGATGCTGATTAAACATTAATGTTGTTGCAGCTTCAAAAGTTTAGATTTCCTCCTAAACTTCCATGCATTTCTATGACTTTGCTAAGCGTGTGGATCAGTCATGCTTCTACTCCTCATACTCCTCTGTTTCTCAGTCACCATGTCTCCTTCCATGTATTTTGAGTCATACAGGCTGTTTCATGGCCAAAAAGGCACAATATCCATTTTGTACAATAATATTTACCATTACTGAATCAAAAAAGGCACAGTGTCTGTGTTTGCAATGGCCCTCTTTGAAGTTGACAGTAAAACCACTTTCAAAAAATGGCATGATTAAACCTCAGCATTTTTAGACTTATGGTAAAAAAAAGGTATTTAATTTCAACATGTGTTCATTCATACCTTTATTTTCTCTACTCATTAAATCTTTAGAAAGGAGTGGTAGTAATCATAACCAGTCCAAGATGCACCTTGAACAGATCTCTTGTCAAGACAGGTCAAAGAGGAGAACAACAAGCTAACAAACCAACTACTGTAAATGTTTTTATTGTGGAAGTTTTAATTGGGAAAGTTATTTTCAAGATAGAGGTTAAGTATACGTGATTTATTCTATCCATTAGTCCAAATTGGACAATGTTAGACTCCGACAGGTATGACACTGACTGCTGATAACTGCAGTACCCCACATAACCCCACTTCAGTGTCACAACCTACGAGCTGAACATTGTGCTTCTGGATGACAATTTGTTTATTGTTTTATTTGTTTTTCTTTGGCAGGTGAAGTAGCACGCTTTGGAAACTCCTCCTTAAATGGCAGAGACGTCAGTTTTGTGGTGAAGGATTGCTTACCGGAAGATGCTGGCGCCTACACATGCTTGGCTGAAAACCGTGCAGGGCGGACATCCTGCAGTGCAGCGGTGTTTGTCCGAGGTAAGAGGAATCACTATTTGAAAAGTTTTTGTCATAGTTAAAATGTCACAGTTTCATTATTGACTCCATGAACCGAAGATTTGTGTTCTGATTATTTTTTTTATCTGAATGTTCCAGTGTTTGCAGCCAAATCAGTTCACATTTAACTGTCTCCACTTTGACACTTTAAAATCACACACTGTGATGTATTGTAATGGATTTTTATACAGTAGACCACCACAAAATGTCACATAATTGTGTACTAGAAGAAAAAACTGTTTTTAAATGCTGTTTGTTCAATTTTACAATAGAAAATAAGGGACAAAGGGTAAATGACATTAAAATCAATCTCTTTAGCATGCATATGAAATGCTAAGAGTGGTAAAAAAAGGTTTATGGCATAGGATCTGGAACACACCACTTCTCTTGTGTGACACAGTAGTGGCAGTATCATGTTGTGTTGATGCTTTTCTTAGGCTGTTACAGAGAAGCTGGTCAAAAATAATGAACTAAATGTATGACAGGAAAAGACCAGTCAGGACCATCTTCCTGCAGACCACAAATGCAATTTGATTCATGCAATCAAAGCTTCAACAGAAATGCTTTTGAAAAAAGTTAACTGAATAATGGCCAAGTAAAAATAGCTCAATTTGCATTAACTATTTAGCAGGGATGTATGCACAAACAACTATGCATCTTTCTAGACGTGCTGGTCGGCCTATCCCAAAATACAATGATAATAAGTACTGTAAGTGTAACAAAAGAGAGTGCACAATACAGTAGTATTAATATAAATGCCCTCTACAATTTGCATTTATGAACTGCCTTGTTTTGGTTTATCAAACAAAATCTCCCTCCAACAAAAAGAAGCTTGAGCTCATAATGAACAGATGAGTTATGAATACTTCATTAAGGCACGTTTAGAGCTCTCTCTAGTTTTGTTTTTTTCATTATTCCTCCTTTCCCTTCCTCTTACTTCTGACCATTTCAGACTTCGAAAGTATCTTTGATGTCTCAAAGCTGCCCACTTCTGCATTCAAGAGCACCGTGGAAAATGGGCTGTCTTCACAAACCTCCAAACCTGAGCAGCACTTAATAAAAGGATCTATTTGTTCGTCGCCTGTAAAGTCTGTTCAACAAAGCCCAGTGTCCTCACCAAAAGGTAAAGGCATTCATCACATATGACAGTAATTTAATTTGTGGTCACATTTGTTTATTGTTTATTTTATTTTTAATGTAAAAATCCAAATATATAAATTTGTAGTCTGGAAAAAATGCAGTTGTTTGTTTTTCCTCTGGATCAGGAAATATCTTGACTTGAGGATGTTCCTGTTTAATCTTTAAAAGGAAGCAGTCCTAACCTCATTGGCTGTTGGGCGACATGTATGCCAATAGCACAATCCCTCAGAAACAATGTAGCTCCCTGATACACCCACTGGAAGTTTTTATTTCCAACTAAATGCCATATAGGGAAGTGGACATTGCACTGAATGTACATTGAAACTTCCCGAGTCTGCACTGATAGCCATGGTAGTCAAAGTTGAGCCACTCCTTCATTTTCAACAGCTTAAACCTCCCCTGTCTTCACCTCTCCACAGAACCCATCCCAAAGAAGAGAACTAACTCAGCAACAGGTAAGAAAAACTAATTACTTCTTTTTTTTATGCCAAACTGTGGTTTTAATAAACATCTAGGCTATAATATTTTTTCTTCTCTTTTACTTTGTGCCATATATTGTATATTAGCTCATTTTGGTAATTTTACTTATATTTGGGTTTTAAAGCTGTTATGGTTTAAAGTGGGCCTGCAATTTCCTTTTAAATCTCTGTCAAGAAATAAAAAAAATGTTTTGCTCTTGCTTATTGTGCTTTATTATAATGAGAAACATGGCCTCAGGGTGTTGGCTGCATGAACAAAGACATGAAAAAAGACAGGATAATGCCCAGCATCTGCTTTATTGTAAACATAGTGTGTCATATTTCCTTTTTCTTGTTTTTAATTATCGAATGTGATATGAAGGTCGGCTAGAAATTGGACACTGTGAGTTAACTGTTACCAATAAAGGCTTTTCATATAAAGTTATCAGATGAGCTCATTTGAATTAACCACCCTGATGCCACAATATTTACATACCGACAGCATGGGAGGAGAAGATAACTTAAGCTCATATATGGACTGGTTTTAAGAGAGTGAGCTGTTTTAACTACATTAAACAGGCCTAACAACAAAATGAACTGGGTTAACAAGTATAGCATAAGTGTTTTGCTCTTTGTGTCTACATAATACAATCGGTATTCTTGCTGAAGCAATAATGATGGTATCAGGATGAGTGTTACACTCCCTGTCATGTAGCACAGAACAAAGTCAAGATCCCTCAGCCAGCCCTTATCTCTAAAGTTGCACACAATTCTTTATAGTTTCCTTCCAGAAAGAGGGAAAAAAAATTAAACTCTGACCTCGAAGTCATAACAGTTCGGTTGCTTTGTCTTTACAGGCCCAGTGTTAAGCTTTAAAAATCCACCCCGACATTTAGAGGTGAAGGTGGGGCAGACTGCCAAGCTGACCTGTTTTTTCACCGGAAGCCCCCCTGTGCTCTCCTGCTGGATCAGGAACAAAGAACAGGTAAAAATAAGGTAAATGGACAACTTGTGGGTTTCTCCCCAGTTTTATCTATAACCCAGTTTTCTGTTTTTGTGTGTGCAGATAGTCGACAGCCCAGAATTGTGGACTGAACACACAGAACAGAGCAGTACGCTGGTCATAAAAGAGGCCAAACCACAGCACACAGGCCGCTACACGGTTGTGGTAAAAGACCGCAAAAGCTCAGCCCAACACACACTTACCCTTTCTGTCATAGGTAAGATAGTACGTACAACATGGCACTCACTGGCCACTTCTTAATAATGCTAGGTTCGATTTTTTTTTTTTTTTTCTCCTCAGGTAGGTGTCAAACATTCCCCAGAGATTATTGCATTCCACAGTTTTGAAACCAGATTAACATTTGAACAGTTGCTCCATTTATTCATTTGTCGTGTCACTTTTAGAGGCTGACTTCCTGTGAGAACTACTTGTGACACTTGGTTAATTCCTCCATCCTCAAATGGATCCATATTTTTGGTTTATGAAAACTGTAGCATCTAGTGCTGGGCAATAAATTGCATTTGCAATATAATCGCAATTGAATAACATGCAATATTCAAATCACAGAAGCTATAAATATTTGTCATATTACAATTAACTAAGGTAAGAAATTAAATTTTTCACTCCAACTCTTTAGGTGGTGATGATATGTTTAAACTGGGTTTGTCACCACACAGTGGGGAAAAGAGTTTAGCTAGCACGCAACTCCAGGCATGCAAATAGAAGTAAACACTTTTTTACAGGAGGTTACAGTAAAATGCAGCAACGATGGACACAAGCAAGCTTGAAAAACTGAAAGCCTAAGATTAAACATTTGGATGATTGTGGTTAGCATAAAGGAAAATCAATAGTGCAATAGTGGTTAAAAATAATTGCAATTTTGATTTTGCTACAAAAATGTTTAGAACTATTAGTTACACACCAATATCTGCACACTAGAATGCTATTTAGCTGCCCCAATACATCCCAAAGCAGCTCTGTTGGATTGAGATCTGGTGGCTTTGATGGAAATCTATGTTCTATGAGCTCATTTTCAAGGTCAAAAACGATCCTGTTGTACTCTCAAAGCTTAACTGGAAGCAAAGGGCTCAAATAAAACCAGCAGCAGTCTGAACCCTTTAATAAACAATATGGAGCTCTTATGCTTTGTTTACACCAAACTTTGACCTTACTCTCTAAATAGGATCAGGAATAATTTTTTTCTGAATCCGTTTTTTTCTGTGTAAATTATGGCCTTATGATTGTCTCCATACTGCTTCAACGTTCAAAAGAAATATTCAGGTCTCTCTCTTAATCTTACCCAATCTGTCCATTCTCCTCTTGACCTTTTGGCATTAGAATATGTTCTATTTTACAAAAAAATCTTGGTAAACCCATGAAATGTTCCATGAAAACCAAGCAGATTAACAGTTTTTTCATATATATGTTTAGATCAAGCCATCTGGCATCAAAAGCCATGCTCCCATCAAAGACACCCAAATCACTTTTCTTCCCTATTTTGTATAGATGCTTAAATCCAATGAGTTCCTTCTATACTATTGGCTAAATCCTTTACCAGACCTTTGGCAGGTGTACCTTATAAAATGCCCTTTGAGCATGTTAAAGGCCTGATCTTTAAAGATTCCAAATAAAGCACTTAATTACTTGGGGAATAAATAAAAAAAGTGTTTATGCTAGAAGTGGTAATGTAAGGAGTATTACTGTGATAGAGGTTTCCTGGTAGTTGTTAATATTTCGTAATTGTTTTTATTGCTATAATCATGCATCGGTATGAGTTCAGTTTTTTTTAAATATTTTTTTGGCTTTGGTTTAACTGTACATACTGTAGAACAGCTGCATGTATTTGCACCAGCCTGCTCAGGCATGGTTTTCAGTACTAATTTCCTTCTCGTGTTGTTTTTCCTGAAAGTCTAAGTATGTTTCCATGTGCACATAATCTCTCTTCATCATTCATCGTTGAACCAACGCCTCCTTTGGGGCCACAATGAAGGTTGACAGATTTTTAAGAGGGATTTTGTATTCCTACCTGACTTGTAAAGGTGATAGACCCAAAAGGTTTTAAAAATCAATTTCCGTTTTATTTTTAACATGATTTGCATGTCCTCCACATATAAAGTTTCACAGTAAGGTCATTAGAATATGATCTTCAATTTATGAAGCTAAATATACAAAAAAAAGTTTGCATGTGCCACTTACTGAATTGCACATGCAAATTGCTTTGCACCTTATTGGAGGATCTGCTCCGCACGTTCAGACAAGTTTCTATATGTTTCAATACACAAACTTACCAAAGATTAGTCCAATCCAATCTACTTTATTTATATAGCACATTAAACATGTTTCAAATGTGTTGTACATAAAGATCAGGCCTTATGTGTTTAAACCAAGTGCAGCTGTTGTTTATACTCTTGTACCTCTGTCATCCTTCCAGACAGGCCAGAGCCTCCTGCTTCGTGTCCCGTAGCCTCTGTCATAACTTCATCCAGCCTTGTGTTGTCCTGGTCGGGACCCTGCTATGACGGCGGCAGTGCCATCCAGGGCTATGTGGTGGAAGTAAGAAACCAGAGTTCTTCTGAGTCTGGGAGGTGGGAAAAGCTCACTGCTGAGTGTGCAAGCACCTCATACCAAGTGTCGTTCGGGCTTCAACCAGAACAGGAGTACTATTTTAGAGTGAGAGCTTATAACACAGTGGGGGAGAGTGAACCCAGCCCAGTTTCAGCAGCAGTGAAAATGGAGGACACAGGTGAGGTGTAATTGTTATCTGACTAGTATACTCGGAAAAAGTGAAGACAGTTTTCATCTGAAAGGAAATGTTTCATTGAACCTGGTGTGTTTCTACTAATAGATCCAAAGAGTACCCAAGCAGAAGCCCCTCAGTACTCCTGTGTCACCATTGACTCTACTCACAAAGTTACAGATCACTACAACTTGCATGAGAAATTGGGCACGTAAGTATCCAGAGATCACACATGCATGAGTGTTTTTTCTTTGATCTTAAGCCAAAATTCACTTTCTCGAGAAACCAAATGATTGTTTTCAGGAAGAGAACAGAAACTTTTGATTGGAGTGAAGCCAGAGGGGAAATTATGCTCTGAACTTTTTTTGCACTGTCAGCTTGTAGAAACATGTTTCTTTTAAAAACGAAGAAAGAGACTCGTAAGTTTTAATGATGACATAAATACATAAATAAGAGTTCACTTTGACAGATTGAGAAAAGAGAAATCACAATGCAAATTTAGTATTTAGTCCCTAGGAAGCCAGATTTTCTTGTAATCTTTTAAAGTAACCAAATTTTTTAATTACTTTAGGAAGATATAAGCTAATTGCTTTTTGTTAGTTTACCTTGTTAGTGGAAGAAGGTGCTTTAATATCTGATTGATTTCAAGTGTAAAAAAAAAAAAAAATCAACTTTTCATAATCTATTAATTTTTTTTTCTGTTCTATCTGTTCTAAATAATCCCAGAAATATAAGGAAGTAAAAATGGGTACAAAAAAACTTTTTGAAAGACCTTCTGAAAATGTTGTGCTTAAAATTGCTAAAAAAAAAAAAAAGAATCTGAAAAGAACTTTGAAAAAACATAAAATTCGAAGAAATATTTGAAAAATAAAATGTATAAATTTAGGCAATAAAATGTATGAACCTGCTTGTCTGAATCTGATTAGTGGTTCTGTTCGGCTCGCATTTCCTCCCTAAAGTTCTTAAGTGAGAGTGACTTATGTCCTCTTCAGGGGAAAATTTGGCTTGGTGTTCAAACTCACCCATAAGGAGACGGGCCGTGTGTTTGCGGGAAAGTTCTACAAAGGACGCCGAGCCAAAGAGAGGGAAGCTGCCCGCAAGGAAATCGAGCTGATGAACCACCTCCATCACCCCAAACTGGTCCAGTGTCTGGGGGCTTATGATCACAAACCAGAGATGGTCATGGTAATGGAGTTGTAAGTAATATATTGTCAAGTTCTCATTGCAGCTTTAGGTCCTGGGAGTGTGCCAGGTCTCAAAGTTTAATTTTTTCCTGCAGTATTGCAGGAGGGGAGCTGTTTGAACGCATTGTGGATGACAACTTTGAGCACACTGAGCCTGCCAGTGTGCGCTACATGCAGCAGATTCTGGAGGGGATTGCTTTTATGCATCAGCAGAACATTGTGCACCTGGATCTGAAACCTGAAAATATTGTATGTGTGGATACCACTGGCACTTCCATCAAGATAATTGACTTTGGATTAGCCAGTAAACTTGGTACGTCAGGGGAAATTATATTGATATTAATGCATTTCACATGTTGGATCTGTTTCCTCAGTTTTGTGTTGCTCGTTTGCACAGATGAGAACACGGGTCTGAAGGTGATGCATGGCACTCCGGAGTTTGTAGCTCCTGAAGTTATAAACTACGAACCTGTGACTCTGGCTACGGATATGTGGAGCATTGGCGTCATCTGCTACATCCTGTGAGTCACCTTGTTGTCCCGTCTCTATCAAAAGGGTATTTTGACACACTTATTCATTTTATTGCCATGACACAAATAAAGGATCGGGATCACTCTTGTTAGGGCGCAATAAATTCAAAGCATGGATCTGAATCACTGTGACATGATTGGCTTTCACCCATGGATTCACCTGCATCCACACCTGACATTTTCTGTAAACGCCCCCATAAAATATCAAAGTAAACCTAGTGTTATACAGAGACCTGTTTAATTTTTGCAGTTTATATGCAGGAACATATATTTCAGTAAGTCAGAAACAGACAGGTCACTAAATATTTGGGCAGGCATTTCATTTTTGACAATGTTGCAAAAAAAGTAACATAAACGTATTTCAGTTTAATAGATGTTAATGATAATTAGATGTTTAACATCTATGCAAGGTAACTTGTGCAGCCTTTATAGTTACCACATGTTACAGGTGTCAAGTAACAAAGTACAAATACTTTGTTACCTTACTTGAGTAGAGACTTTTTACTTCTACTCCTTTTTTTTTTTACATTTATCTCTACTTTCTAACATTTTAAGAATAGACACATTAGTTTTGTTTCATTTAAGCTAATTTTTTTTATGGCCTGTTGTTATTCAAAAAAAATAACAAAACAATCAAAATGATTTGTTTCATCAAGACAATTAATTTCCTTGTGTGCCGCACCAACTTGTTGTTTGCCACATACAAAAAATAAATTGTTTTTTAAGGTTATGCAAAGTTAGATTTGACGCTGTTGTCATTAGTTATAGAACTAAGAAAATTAAGCAGGAAGTTATCATCCAGGATTGTAGAAAAAATGTCCTTTAATAGGGTAGTGCAGTAAAGCATATTGTCCATAACATGTTTTCCTACATTACATTTACTTTTATACTTTAAATAGATTTAAAAATGGTACTTTTGCTCTTTTACTTGATTTAAAATCTTAAGCTGATGCTCCAACTTCTACAAAAATGTTTTTAAACATTAAGATACGGTAAGTACTTTTACTTGAGTAAACATTAATACTTTGGCACCTCTGGTAAAAAAAAGCCACACCCCAGAACTATTGCTCTGTAATGTCTGTTTGAAATTACAAGCTTCCATGTATTTTATTGGGGTTTTTAATTTGACAGACCAACATGAATGGTAAATAATTGTTAAACAAATATAAACTAACAAATGTATATTTTTTTATGGTGGAATATAACAATTAATATCTACCTGAAAAATTCCCCTCACAGTGATACATTGAGGTACAATAATGCTGCAGGGTTGATCTTCCTCTGCAGGAAAATGGAAACTGGTTAAAGACGACAAAAAAAAATGTTATGGGCTTCATGAGAGTAAATGTGGTTTGAGAGATCAGCTTCCAGATCCTAAATGATGAAGACTTTCTACCAAAGCTAAACTGATTTTAATAGAGACTCGAGTGCAAAGAAAATGGGCAAGGTTTTTAATTTCTGCTTATGTAAGGCCGCTTGGAACATACTTCAAACAACTTTTCTGTCAACAGTAGAGCAAAATGATGAGTGACAGACAGTTTTGTGATCGTGGTTAGTCTAAAAGGTTTATTTTCTTTCACTTTAAAATATGAGGTGCTTTGTGTTGCCTTAAAACCCCAAGAACATATATGGAACATGGAAAACTAAAAATGTTCTATGTGTAGGATTTGCAGATATAAACAATATATTCATAAAAGCTGAAGAATGTGGAATGACAATGAAGTCCAACTTTATAATGGTAAAACAAGCAAAAAAATCAACAAGTAAAATACCAATTAAATTTAATACTCTACTGCCACCTAGTGGTAGAATAATTTCCTAGCATTTTTCCTCACTTTCTGTTTCAGGCTTAGTGGCGAGTCTCCATTCCAGGGAAACAGTGATGCAGAGACACTGGCTTTGGTCACTGCAGCCCAGTGGGAGTTTGATGAAGAGAGCTTTGAAGATATAACACAGGAGGCTCAGGATTTCATCAGCTCTCTCCTAAATAAGGACCCCAGGTCATTTTACAGACATGTAATCCAAACTCTTTCACATTCACACTTTACAGTTGGTCTAATGCAGCTCTCATTGTATCTGTTAGGCAGAGGATGTCATGTGAAGAGGGCCTTGCTCATCCCTGGATGGAGAAGTTTGACTCTGAGAATCTTTGTTCTACAAAGACTCTGTCCAAGGAGAAAATGAAGAGGTTTTTAGCCAGGCAGAAGTGGAAGGTAACACGATTTGACCATTTGGGCTCATAAGATGAGAGTTGGTTTGAAGTCTCATTAAAATGTGTCAAGGCCATGTTGGCCCTAAAGAGAATGGCTTTGCTGTCTAAAAACGAAAGCACTGCATCTCTCGCAAGCCCTGAAAAGGGTAAGATGATTTCTGNGGCTCATAAGATGAGAGTTGGTTTGAAGTCTCATAGAAAGCTGGCAAGGCCATGTTGGCCCTAAAGAGAATGGCTTTGCTGTCTAAAAACGAAAGCACTGCATCTCTCGCAAGCCCTGAAAAGGGTAAGATGATTTCTGTTCTTTCCTCTTTTTGAATGAGTCATATAACCGTATGTGCGTAAGAATATAATTTACTTTTGTCTTCTAGATTTCCTGCTCAGCCCTGAAGCAGAGGATGCGCTAGAGTCTTTGGAGCGTAAGATGCAGGGACCCCCCCAATTTACCAAGAGCTTGGAGGACCAGAAAGTAGCCCAGGGTTCCTGTGCCCGTCTGTCATGTCACCTTAGTGGTAGGCACCCTTTTCTTTCAAACTGAGCACATAACATAGAAATTAAGATTTAAGTTCCGGTCAGATTTAAGTAATAAGCAGAGTTATGTAGACTGAAATCTATCAAGACTATATCTTCAGTGAAACCTGTTTATATTAATCAGCCTGTTTATTAACCTGACCAGGATGTTAGGTGTGTTGATCTACAGATTTAAAGTGCTGTTGATTGGAAACGATGTCAGAGCTAAGTTGCTTGGTCCCCACAACCAGTAGCAGAACTAGAACTACCACCAGATTAAAGTGGAGCAAATGTATTCCAAAAGAGACCCAACGACCAATAATTTCAGGTAAAAACTGGAAAAGAACCTTGAGAGTGCAGATTTCTGCCAAGCAGCAAATTTTGCCCCATATTGTAACCTACACCTAGAGCTAAAACTCCCACATGTCGTTTGGATCTTAACCAAATTTAAATGAATTGTTCCTTGGTATACGCGCACCTATGTTAAAAAATTTCATTAAAATCCATCCATATGTTTTCAAGTTATCCTGCACAGAGACAAACATACAATCTTTCCTAAAAGCATAACCTCCTTGGCAGAGGTAATTAAATGAAAATACTTTAAAAATATATATATATTTCCACATTATAAGGTTTAGTAGTTAATTTTATATTAATATGAATGAATGAATGAAAATAAAAATTTCCATTTAAGTGAAAATAAAAAGGAAAATATATAACAAAAAACAATTTAAAAGGACACAAAACAAAAAATAAGTTATACTTTCACAGTTTCCTTGTCATATTATGATATTAACAGGATTGAAAAGGAGTGGGAAGAGGTATACACTTTTTAGGACTTCCCACCCCTTACTACAATCATACTTTTTATGTATTTTTAACATATTTCAGCCTCGCATAACTCTGAGTATACATATAGATAGATAGATGTAATTAGTGTTACACTGAATCCAGGTTCATCTGTTCACAAACAAAACTAAGTAAGTCATTAATTATAATAACCAGTTCTATTATATTTGAGGTTCAATTGAAAAAAAAGCAATAACTCTGTTTGCAGCAGCAACCGTTTAAGATTAAATATGCAAACTGATATCCTCTTATTTTTCTTTTTTAACCCATATTCTATTTGTTTAAAATGTGCTATTATTCTAATCATAAATAGCGTTTAGTTTCTGAATAGTTTTAACACTTTAGAGCAAATCATTTATGTTTTATGCATCCACATGTACAGATTTTTAAGGTTAGAAAGGATAACCTAAAACATACCTTTTATATTTTAGTTTCATTTATGTAACTCCACCAATATAAATCAGATTCTGCTTATTTAAAAAGTCTTATTTAAGTCTTATTTAAACAGTTTCTTTATAATCTACTAATAACTTAATTGGTCAATTTGACTGTTACCATATTATTACTCTGTTCATGTATTCGGGTGTAAAAACACCAGCTATCTCACTCTTGTTTCATTTGCTGCAGGATATCCTGATCCAGAGGTGGTGTGGCTGTGCGGAGATGAACCAGTAGAGGAATCGTCCACCGTCCAGATAGAGTATGAAGACGATGGCCGCTGCACTCTGATTCTTTCAAAAGTTGCACCAGAGGATGGCAATGTTTACACCTGCAGGGCAACCAATGACCACGGGGAAATATCCTGCAAAGCTAAACTAACGGTTCTGTAATAGAGTCAGCATTTCTATGAAAACAAAGAGGAACTGTACAGATACAATGTTCTTGAGTGCCTAAATGTATATAGTTACAGTGCGTATGGATGCAAAGGAGGCAAATGAGGAATGTACTGTTAAGCTTGTTGGTCAACTGGAAAACTATAACGCATTGATATACACAGTCTAGATAAAGTACGTGAATATAGTTACAAACCTTTGTTGAGTAAGAGTTGATATTTCCATGTATGGCTAAGATATATTTATAAACTGATTTATACATTTAGATTTTAGCTGATAATGTGAACTATGGAGAATAGCCGCACCTGTATGTTAGATTTAAATCTTAATATCGAAAGATAAAATGGGCTAAAACTACACTGTTGGTATCAATTTGTAAGGATGGTGTCGTATTTTTGATCTGCGTTAAGGTTTTAGTGGAAATTTTTTTTTAGATGTTTTTAGTCTTTATTCTAGAATTAGCTTCATCAGTTTTTATTTTGCTTAGAAAGAAACGTAGATCCATCAAAAGCGGGTTTAGTTTAAGTTTATGACTTCCTCTGTGCCATCTTTGCAGCTCTTTGTCTAAAGTGGGTTCTCAAAGAAATGAATATTAGCAAATATTTTTGTACATAATAAAAGTTTATAAAATTACTCAGTTTTTTTTTTTCTTTAGAAATAAATTCATTTTTCACCTCTGTTTCACCAACAGGGTTAGGTACATGTTATAGTTTTATTGTCAAATGTTATGTCAGTACAATTCTGGGCTGTTTTGTCCAGTTAAAGTTCGATATATTGAAGCTGATGCAGGATTATTTATTTTAGATGCTAACTATGCTAACATGGCAGCTAATCAGTTATTTGTTTGGCTATACAGAAAACTATAAAGGAAGCAGAATTTCAGTGTAAGCAATCCAAAATACCTAAATTTTCTTTTTCATTATAGTGTTATAAATCAATGGTCTGAAGTGATGTCATTCAAACATCGGATGCCATTACAAGCATATAAGCCATATTTAATGGTTTGTTCTCTGCTTTTATTTTGCAAAACACTGAACCTTTTTTTTTTTTTCCGCAAAACACCTAATCCTTTTGCATCAGCTCCCATTCCAACAGTAAGGTCTAATTTGTTTCGAAAGGGGGCGTGGCCGTTTTCAAGGGTTAAGTACATGGATGTTTGAATCAGTATATTGTATTACATACTATCAGCTATCACTAAGTTCCTCCAGGAAGTGAAACCAATGAGAGAAGGGCAAGGAAAAAAAATTAACCCTTTTATCAGTTCTTATCAGAATCAGAAATACTTTAATAATCCCAGAGGGAAATTACTTTTGTTACACGCTCCAGTTACAGTTTTTATATATATATATATATATATATATATATATATATATATATATATATATATATATATATATATATATATATATGCATATGTAGAAACTAAATCCAAATAAAGTGAATATCCAACTAAAGTGATAAATCCAAGTAAAGTGATACGTGGCGTGCAAAAATAGTGCATATACTAAATATGAAGATTGCCTTAGTAAATAGAGAAACTTTCAAATAACACCCTAAATCAGGGGTCTTCAACGTTTTCCAGGCCAAGGACCCCTAAACTGATGACTAGATGGAGCGGGGACCCCCTAATTAAATATATGGTATGAAATAATGTTCTATCATGGGATTATTAAAGTATTTCTGATTCCTGGTTGATGGGACAGGTGTTGTGGATGAAACGGTGCCCAGCTTGAAAGAGCTTCTGTGTGTTGCTGAATGTGTGCATTTATGACTGAAAGACATCTTCTGCCTCCATTTATCTGTTTACTACAGTCTGTTGAATTCATGTTAATGTGGATTTAAAGACCTTTCAATTAGTGGAAAAAATTGCAGGGGGGAATATAAAAAAAGTCTAATCAACCAAAACTTTCGCGACCCCCATGCAGTACCTCCGCGGACCCCCTAGGGGTCGCGGACCCCATGTTGAAGACCTCTGCCCTAAATGCATTTCCACTTAATGGAACAACAATGCCATATTTCATCTAATAAAGAAAACTACATGTCTATTGGTTTTGTGTGGTTCCCAGCCGCTTTACTCAGGAACCTGTATTGCCTGTTTTATGTGTTTCCTTGTTGCGTCACACCAGAAAAGAATGGATGATTAACAGGCTTCTGCAGCACTTGATTGCTGACGATTTGAATCAGGTCACCTGGATCAGAGACATGGCTAAAGCATGCAGGGCAGGGGTCCCTGAGGACCAGAGCTGGGAACTACTAAGGATGGGGTATAATTACTCATTCTATTTTAATTCAGAAGTTTTTATTACAAATTGCGCAGAGACTTCCCCTAAAAGTCTGAAATTTGAGTGAGAAAGTAAGAGCTTTATTTCTAATGCTGACCTAAAAAAGAAAATATGGGGGCTTCATGGACCTTATGAAAGCTTTAGAATAACAGTTACATTTCACCATTTATATCCATTTACTTATAATAAAATCTTGTCTTATTTGGTGGAACTAGATGTTTCCAAATAATTTTCTGCTGTGCTTCTCGTTAACAAGTTGCCAAAGCATTAAAGGTCAGGGGGTCTAAAAACGAAAGCAAGTCATTCTTTGCTGTTGTTTAATTTCATTCAAAACAAATAATAATACCAACCAGTCATTTCTGAGTAATATTTGTCCTTTATATACAAACACATAAAGCTACAACGATTCAAAGCAGCAATTACAGATTCAAAGTGTCCCAACATGTGGTTTATAATTTCATTATTGAAGTAAACCCCCACCTTCAGCCCAAGGTTTCCCAAAGTTTAAAATTAATGGCTATGATTAAGTTTCCATTTTTATAAGTCTAAGATTATTTTAAAAGTTAAACCTCCTTGAAAAGTCAGGGGCGGATCTAGGATTCTACGAGGTCAGGGGCTTAGCCCTGAGGGTGAAGGTGAGAGTGTAGACTTTCTGGTAAATCCCATTCTGATGTAAAATATGACAGATTACTGGATTAAGGACATTTCAGGCATATGACATGCACACATACTTCCTAAAAATATGGAAGGAGGAGGAGGATAGAATGGATATTTCAGCTGCCTGAAATAATCGGTTCCCCCTGCTAACATGGGAAGAAATTAATTTACCTGCAAGTCTTTAACTGTGTTTATTCCTCTCTTCATCAACAATAGATACTGTGGATTTGGTAACATTTGATCATTATTTGCCAGAGTTATGAGAGGAAAGTCTAACATTTTAGCCACCTGGACTGAGCTGGGCTAAAGTGGCAGCAGCGACAGAGAAACACTTCTGCCTCACTGGAAAAATTTGAAATCTAGATAAGTCATTTTTTCTTAAAATAAGTGCATTTGTTCTTGGATTGAGGAGATAAAAGACACATTTTTCCAATGGAACAAGACAATTTACACTTAAAATAAGAAAACACAATTGCATTGTCTTATTTCAAGTGCTTATTATCTAATTATCTTATTTTAAGAGTAAGAAATACTCATTCTATTGGCAAACTATCTCATTTACCTACTCATATTAAGAATAAATACAGTTAATTTAAGAAATTTCTACTTATTTCTAGGTCGTTTTCCCAGTGTTCTGCATGCTGCCACTCTCTGGTGAATTCCAGTACTGCACATTTTACTCAGATCAGCTTAGAGGCTTAGATCTGGGTTTCTTGGGAGAACATCCGGGGCTGTAGCCCAAGTAGCCACACCCTAGATCCGCCAATGGAAAAGCTCCCTGTTATATAATGCTCAGG